TCCAGTGAAAATTTAAGAAAAGGAGGTTTTCTAGGGATCATGAGAATTTTCTAAAATTTGTCTTTTTGTTGCTTACTAAAATCAAGCCAGCATACCCTGAGGAAAAATGGAAAGGGCTGACATACAACCATGTAAGTTTACTGTATCTTAAAAAAACCTTTGCGATTAGAGTTGCCATCGAAGCAATTCAGACTCTTTGCGGCCCCATACGTGCCAGAGTAGAACTGTACTGTATAGGGTTCTCCTTGGCTGATTGCTTGGAAGTAGATTGCCAGGGCTTCTCTGAAGTGCCTCTGGGTAGCCTCAAACCTCGAACATTCTGCTAGCAGCCAAGTGCATTAACCGCTTGTTCCACTCAGCAACTCCTTTGAGATTAGTACAGCCTGAAAAAGATCCTGAACAGCAATTCATTAATTCTCAGGGGGTAAATCTAGAGATTTCCACATCAGATACTACCTTTTTATTTTTCTGATTCTTTTCTGAACACTTAAAACAAGTGTTAATAATTACCAACTTCCCTTTTATCAATTAGGCTAGGTCTCAACCACAGCAGGGCAGGAGCAGACAACAAAATAATAGTCAATCTACCAATCAGAAGGGTATCCTGTGTAATTTTTAGCAATTTATGATTTTAGTTCATTTTATTTGGGGCACTGAAAATGCCTTACAGATAAAATAATGATGAATCTTTTTTTCTTCCACAACTCCCAAGGTGATTCCTTGGGTACTCTGGAAAGGCATGAGTGATTAATCAAGTCATTGGAGACTAACAACAATATCCAATTTCCAAACTATGCATGTTGGTTAAACTGTGTTTCACTTTCACGTAAAGTATGTGTGTGTGTGTGTGTGTGTGTTGGGGTGGAGGGTGAATGGGAGAATCAACATTGCTCTAAGAGATTAGCATGAATTATTAAAGATTCTTACATTTTTAAAATTCCAGGAATTAAGGGAAAAAAGCTGAATAATTTGTACACAAGTCCTAACACTAGAACTCAAAGATTTCTAACCTGGGGGCCATGGGTTGGGTTTCAGGACACCCACACACTTCCTAAAATTGTATGTGAAATTTTGTGTAATTTAACGTTTTTTGCTGAGAGGGTGAACTGATATCTAAAGATTCTCAAAGGGATCCTTGACCCCTTTAATGTTAAGAGCCACTGCCCCTAAAAAAACAAAAACAAGAAGAAGCAAGCAAGCAGTTCTTTGTACATCCATTGCATGGAGTTTACTAGTGGCTTGCTATGTTGATGTAACCTTCTATATACAGACAAGAGAGGGAAGAGATGAAGGAATGAGAATCCAGGAGTCTCATTAAACTGTCTGAAATCAATCAAATGTAGAATGTGAAATTTGCATAAGACACTTGTCTGTTAACTTTTCACTTTAAACTCAGTTTATAATTGTATTAAAAGTTTAAGTTAGTATGATCTTTTTCCTTTCAAAAGCCTCTAAGATTTCGAATTAGTTTAAATTGCATTTTCAGAGCCCATGGTCTCAACAAAAATTTGGATGTTAACAATTAAACTCATGAAGACTTTTAAGAATAAGCATGTGTCAAAGAGTATTTCTCTAGTATAAATTTCTGATCATTTATGCTGTGTCCTTCAGAAGCAGCCTTCAATGAAAGAGCAATAGTATTTGCAACAATCTGATTTTGAATTGAAAGGAAAAAATAGTGATACAAAGATCAATTTGTATGTCCAGAATACATTTACTATTGTTTCAGCATATTAAAAACTCTTATAATTCCAATACTAATAATAAAGGAGTTCTATTCTCACTTAAAGAATAGAAAGCTTTTCAGTGAAACCTATTTCTCCTCATGCTCCTCAAACCTCCGAGTTAAAATTGTTTCAATAATAAATGTCCCTGTGTAATTAATCAGCACACATTTTTCTGGGCATATTGCAGTGAACTCTGACAGACTCCCCTATCCTTTTCCTGTATTACAAAAGGCTTAAATCAACCTCTCTCCATTTCTAATCTTTTTCATTCTTTAATTATACTTAATCCCAAAGAGGCATGTACATGTTGGATTTATGCCACCTTGTAAATCAGGAATCCTATCATCCTTTAAGACTGCTCTCAAAATCTAACTCAGCTTCAATTAAATTTGCAAATATGCAACACTCTTTAATCTCCAAAACATTTCATCAGCTGACAACCTGCAAAGGCAGATTAAAACATACTATAAAAATTATAAATATTAAGAAAATAAATATTTTACAAATTGTTATGACTTTTGAATAAAAAGTTGTTTCTTGGAATGGCTACCTTAAATAAAGGTTAGCATTTGAATCTAAATTAGTGTGTTACATGGTAAGGACTTTGAGGTTTTCTTCTCTTACAGAAATATTACCCCCTGCCATGCCTTTCAAAAAACATAAAAGCACACACTTACCCCATTTTGCTTGCCGTGGTTAAATCATGATCGGATCAAGGCTCATTCAGGCTCTGAATTAACTTAAAGGTAAAAGCAGCAGTAGAGAGATGGCTGATTTGACTGCCCCTGAAATGAGACTGTCATATGGTAACCAGGCCTTTAAATGAGGAAAACTAAAATCTCTTCTAATTATGTAAGCTCCAGGTCAAATTCTAGCACCAACTAATCAAATAACTGAACTGCATTTAGTTTCAAGGAGCAAAAAAGGGGGGGGGGAGAAAAACTGTTTAAGAGGGATGACTTTGGTATCATAGAAAATCAGAAATTTACACATTGAACAATTATTTTATACCAGTAAAAAGTTAGATTTTAAAAGTAAAATATATACCTTGCTTACCTTAAATAATTTGTTTGCATTAAAATATTATTGGGGAAAATTCAATTTACAGTAAAGCACATACTTTTCTATTATGTATTTTCCAGAAGTTTGGGATTCATATTGTATGTCCTGGTACCTGAAAGCATCCTCTCACCTTATATTAACTTGACCAGTATTTATCTCCTTATGATTTCCAGTACAAAAATACTTAGTTAATTCTCAAACCAAACCAGCTAGTGGAAAGCAACACATTCAAGGAATGTGTAATTTTTTTGTAATTTAAAAAAATCTATCATAAAACACTTATAACTAGGGCTTTTTGAAATAATAAAATACAAAGCTTTTGAAATGAAAAACTAACAAAAATGAAATTTTATTTAAGCATTTTAAAAAGACATTCCAGTCCAGTTACAATTATACAGTAAAAAATAAAACATAACCTTTTTAGGTTATGAATATTCACATTTTGAGTGAAGAAATATGACACAGTTATTATATGCATTACTTTTGCCAGCTTTGGAAAACAGTTTCAACAACAGTCAGGTCTTTACTATTTTTTAAATGAAACTGTTTGGTCCTGCTCTGATACTTTATTTATCAAAAAGGTGAAGTAGCCTTCAGGGCATAGATATGTGAGGACATAGAGACCTACTTTTTAAAAAATTGAGATATAGATCATATGCCATAAAATTCACCCTTTTAAAGTGTGTAATTCAATGATTTTAGTACATTCACAACATTGTACAACAATCATCACTGTATCTAGTTCTAGAACATTTCCAGTACCTCCTAAAAAACCAGTACTTCCTGGATTCTCTCTCCCCTGGCAACCACTAATCTACTTTTTGTCTGTACATTTGCCTATTCTGGGTATATGATATAAATGGAATCACATAATATGTAACCTTTTGTGACTGGCTTTTTTCACTTAGCACAGTGTTTCTGAAGTTCATTGATTATGTAGCATCAATCACACTTCATTCCTTTTTTTATGGCTGAATAATATCCAATTGTATGGATACACATTTTTCTTACCCAAAAATTAGTTGATGGGAATGGATTGTTTCCACTTTTCCGTTATTATGACTAATGCTGCTGTGAATATTCATGTACAAACCTTTCTGTGAACATACATTTTCATTTCTCTTGGGTACATACTTAGGAGTAGAATTGCAGGTTCATATGATAACTCTATGTTTAACTTTTTGAAGAAATGTTTTGCAAAATTGCTGCACCATTTCACATTCCCCACTAGCAATGTTTGAGAAGTCTGACTTTTCTACATCCTCATCATCATTTACTGCCTTTTTTATTATAGCCATCCAAAGGTGTTCTGGTGGTACAGCGGGTAAGACATTTAGCTGCTAACCAAAATGTCGGTGGTTTGAACCCACCAGCTGCTTTGCATAAGAAGATGAGGCAATCAGCTCCCATAAAGATTTATAGCTTTGGAAACCCTGTGGTGGTCATTATGAGTTGTAATCAACTGGATGACAGTGAGTTTCATTTTTTTTGTTTGTTTAAGAAATGATATCTCATTGTGGTTTTTATTTGCAACATCTTTTCACATGTCTATTGGCCATTTATTTGTGTATCTTCCTTGGAGAAATGTTAGTTCAAATTCTTTGCCCATTTTTAAATTCTTTTTATTGTTGAGTTGTAAAAGGTCTTCATATATTCTGGATACTAGATCAAAGCACTCAGCTGCTAACTGAAAGGTTGGAGGTTTGAACCCACCAGCCACTCCATGGGAGAAAAGACCTGGCCATCTGCTTCTGTCAATATTATCGCCCAGGAAACCCAATGGGGTATTTCTACTCTGTCATACAGAGCCAATGAGTCAGAATCTACTCAATGGCGTACAACAACAACAGACCCTTATCAGATACTTGATTTTCAAATATTTTCTCCCATTCTTGATAACACACTTTGATGCATAGATGTATTTTTAAAGATGACAAAACTGAGGCACAGGATTGGAAACTGACTTTGCCAAGATCTGATAGTTCTGCTGTGCTTACTGAAGTGAGCTAACTCTCAATTGAATCACATACTTTATTTTAAACCATTTATAAAATGATGGAAACAAAGTTGAAAAAAGGCATAAGGGAGTGATGATTTTATTGGAAAGTTTGTAACACAGAAATAGTGCATGAAGTCATTTTGGATGACACATTCAGTTGTTTTCCTTACAACTAAAAGCTTCTATCACATTAAAATGTCAGTGCAGAACATCTACATGAGTATCTTTAGTTTCAGGCCTGGAGCAGCTGTGAAATGAAAGTTGCCACACCATTCCAGTCCTTGTATATCAGTATACTGTCCTTCACCTTCCACCCTGCAATAGTAAAAAATGTTTGTTCATTAATCAAGAACAAAAACTTACAGTTCAGATATAAGATTGCCTAACATACTAGATACTATGTCTGAAATACTGTATCTTTCCACTTACAAAGGAGCTCTGATGGTGCAGTCCCTAAGGCACTGGACTGCAAACAGGAGGTTGGCGGTTCAAACCCACCAGCCACTCCATGGAAGGAAGACAGGGTGATCTACTTCTGTAAAGATTTACAGCCTCAGAAACCCATTGGGGGTTGCTATGAGTTGGAATCGACTGGATGGCAGTGCGATTGGTTTTTTTTTTTTTTTTTTTTTTTCATTTACAAAGTGCTGTCACATCCTACAAAAAACATTACTATTCCAAATGAACATTGTCACTATACAAATTTAGGTGCCCAAGATTTTTTGCATCACATAAACTAAATTTACACAAGACTAAAACAACCAGCCAGAAATGAAATGTTTGTATTAGTTATCTGGCTTAATTAGTTCATTCATTTATTGAATAAATACTTGTTGTTGTTGTTGTTAAGTGCCATCGAGTCATTTCTGACTCACAGCGACCCCATGCACAGCAGAACGAAACACTGCCCGATCCCGCGCCAGCCCCACAATCCCTGCTATACTTGAGCCCATCATTGCAGCCACCATGTCA